CCAAGAACAAAGGGCGGGGAGGAGGGGAGGCTGGCTCAGGACCCAGCGGGAGGGGAGAGGAAGCAGCTTGGCCAGCAGGAGGGCCACAGAGGGCTGGAGGAAGTCTTCAGGTAGGCCTGTAGCATTGTGCACCCTCCCCCAGCTCATACCCCCCACCCCCAAGGGAAGAGGATGTGAGCAAGAGAAGACGCAGGGAAAATTTCACTCAGTCCGAGTAGAACTACCATTGACCAAGGTGGAGAAGATGATGATGAAAGTATGTTTAAGTTCGGAGAAAGATCCAGAGTTGGGTGTTTGTGGTTTGATTTTTGGTTTGGGGGACCACACCTGATAGTGTTCAGGGCCGACTCCTGGCTCTGTGCTCAGGGGCTCAGATAGACATATGCAGTGCCAAGGATCAAACCAGAGTCAGCTGCATTGTAAGACAAGTGTCTTACACACTCTACTAGCCCCAGAGGTAGGTGTCTGAACATGGTAAGAGCTCTAATAAATCTAAGGGCGGCTCCTTGTCCCTAGGCAGTGAAGATTTGAGGGGTTCCGGGGAAATAATCCAGGCAGCAGGGGGCTGATAGTTTTACTGGAAGCTCTCCATGAGTGCAACTAGAATTATTCACATAAAAAAAAAGTTTTGCAAGAACTCATCTGCTTCACCAAGCAAGATCCCCTTGTGTATATGCTCTACTGTAATAGTCCTGCACTGAGAAGCATCCTAACTCCCAGGTCCCCCTGAGGTTTGTGCGGTATGACATCTTATTTGCCCATTTCAGAGGGATTAAATGCCTCCCTCCCTTCCCTACCTTACCATATCCCCAAGAGGCAACCATGTGGTTGCCAGCAGAGAATAGCTCAGTTGCTCTTACAGCACATTTTTACGGCAGAGAAGGAAAGCCTTCGGTCTAGAACAGAAATATTCCAGGCGGCAAGCGAGCGTAGCTCTAGGGCGACCCCAAGAGAGTGGGGAACACTGACCAGGCAGGGGACAATAGGATGCTTGTAGGTTTCCCCTTCCCCTGGAAGTGGGCCTGCCCAGGGAACGCCCACTCTGGGAGCTGGACAATGCCCCGCCTCACCCCAAGGAGGGCTGCGCAGAGCACGCAGGCCAGTTTTCCCCTGCTGCGGCTGCGAGCTGCTGCAGCAAATGGCAGATGCCTAATCAAAGCGTTTGCAATTAGTTTGGCTTGTTCTGTGATTCCTTTCTGCAAACAAATAAGATGGGAGAATACATTAGCTCTGGGCAATCTCCTTCTAAAAGGACTTTTTCTCCCATCATCATGCTTTTGACCTGGGAAAAGGGGGGGAGGGGTGGGCAGGAGGGCCAATAGTGCTAAACCACTATGTACACAGAGTAAAGTATCTGACTTACCTCCTGTTCAAAACAGTATTTATCCTTCCATTTCATACGGGAGTGCAATTACTCATTTGCTTTTAAAGCATGAGCATTTTGAATTTAATACCGGTTCTTAATTTGGGTGTCTTTATTTTTATTCAGTGATAGCAGTCTGCTTAATTCTTGCCGTCTTTCTGATTCAACATACTCAACTTACTTAGCTAGAGCACTGTTATCCGCCCACTCAAAATGCAAATGCTATATTTTTAATGACCAGAAATGTATTCACTAAACTGGGAAAGAACCTGAGGAGTGTGTTTGTGTCCATGTATGTGTGTGTAAATAAAGAGTTATACTTATTCCCACTTTTGAATAACCACTTCTTAAAGCCATAGTGGTTTTCTTTTCTCCACTGGGAAAAATATAAACAGGTCCATTTTAAATGGAGAAATGTGAAGCATGGAGTAGAGACATGTAACTATTCATTTATTCATTCAACATTAACTTGCATTTCTGTATCGGATTCGATGCATTTTTAGCCTACTTAAACTTAGATGATTTATCTCCTGTGTACATTCTGCAGATGGCTCCCTGAAATAATGACTCGGGGTGTCTGAGACACATTTACATATGTGGATGATATGCATTATTGAGAATGTGGCACCTCTCTAAAAGAGTGAGAGCTGCAAAACCTAACAGGGAAGGATCATTGTCACCTTACAAGCACTGTGGGAAATACGAACTAGAAGACTCCATAGAAAGTTGAGAAAGGAGCATAGAAAGGAGGTTTTCAATCTGATCGCCATCCCTTCTTGCTTCCAGATTGTCCACTGCGTGCCTCATTCAAAAATGCCCCCGTAACACAAATAATAGAGAAGGGGGGAGGGGTTGCACCACAAAGTGTTCAAATAAAAGTAACCACACCAACAAGCAGGGGTACCCAAATTCAAATCGTGTAATTATTTTTTAACAGATAGTTTAGGTTATTAGGTACAGACACTGCTCCACCACTGTATTTAAAGTTAGGTTAATAATTAACTTTGGTCCCTGGTGTAGTTTAATCAAAGGTTACTGTAAATCCTAAAACTGCTCCACGAAGACTAAACAGGCCAATAAACACACATACACACACACACACACACACACACACACACATTCAAAATCCTTGCACCATGACCTTTGGTAGTCATTTGGAGAAGGTGTAGGAAAGGAAGATGTTTGCATTCACAGTGGAATACAGGCATCTTTTCTTTCGGTGGTGGGGGTGGGAGTTCTCTACAAGGATTCAACATCAGAACGCTGAGTGGGTATAGGAACCACCCATCTTGCCCTGCTCTTAGCCCAGTATGTAAGGATTGTGCATGTGGAAAAGGAAGACTGACAAGGAAGAGAATGAAAGCCCCCAGTCAGGCTATCCTGCTGGCCTTGACTTCCCCACCCAGGAGATGGGAACGTGCACTGGAGGGCATCGGTGTTGCTTTGAAGCCTGCTGGCAGAAGCCGGGGCTCAATATCTATCCAGATTCGAGGCGAAGAAAGTTGTGCCTACAAGTGGGATGTCTGTGTCTGTGTCTGCGTCCCCGCGCGCCAGTGTTTTAAAGCATGCACGGATCGCATTCAGTAGCAACATGCAGTTAATGAGTTCATCCAACAAAACCCACAGCTACCCCGGCGTAGCGGGGCCGGGTCACCGCCTTCCACCAAAGCAAATCCCTTTTGACCAAGGACCGATGCTTCGCTCTGCTAAGCAGGCCGGAGGGTGCCCTGGCAAACACTGGTTTGGCAGTGCCGACAGGTTCCACACTCTACCCCGACCCCTGCAGCCCCACGCACCGCAGCAGGCTGCCTGCTTCCCTCCTTCTTGCACCCGGCGGGCTGGAATTCGCGCGGGGCTCGGGAGGCTGGGGGTGCAGCTTTAGAACCTGGTTCATTGCAAACCCTCGAGCATGAGCGGGTACATCCAACGGCGTCCGCGCAACAGCTGCACATCACACAAGCGTCTCGAATCCTGCCCCTTAACTTCCCGACCCCTCCGCGCCCCTCTCCCGTCACCTCTACGCCCAATTCTTCCCCACATTGCAACTGCAGGGTCGCGCGTTTCCAGTCCGGCTGACAGCGCGCCTGGGGGCGCCACCGTCCAGGGGCGGGCACCCAACTCCTAGCCGAAACCCCTGCGATGCACCTTTGCCCCCTCGGGGTTCGTTTATCTGCAGGCTGCGCAGCCTCACCCCCCGCCCCTCCTCACTCCCGGTTTTTCAAAGAAACTTTGCCAAAAGCGCCTGGTGGAGTGAACCGCGAGTGGGAAACGGAGGCGGCGCTGGGCGGAGGGGCGGCGAGGGAGCGGGAAAAGACAGCGGCGTCCGGTTTCCGTTCCCGACACCAGCAAGTCCTGGGTTTGCTCCCGGGCTCCCCCTGGGTGGCTCGGGGAGTGCGCGGAGGCAAGGAAATCTCAGGACCCAGTTCCAGCGCGTGTCCCCCACGGGGGAGCTGGGAAGGAAAAACAAAAACCGCGGAGAAGCCGGGGCTGCTGAGGCAGTGGCACCGGCGCGGGGTCCTCCGGGAGGGTGGCCCACCGGGAGGGTGGGACTGTGGGGCGCGCTCCCCGGCGACCCCCGTCGGTCGGCGAGGCTGCGAGTGGTCCGGGTCACCAGCGCCCGGGCCATCTCTTGGCAGGTTTCCACGCCCTCCCCCCGCCTCGGGACACCTCCTTTCTAGAACGGGATCTCGGCGGGCTTTGCAGGGGGGCGCCGCGGACGCCGGCCCGGGCGTGGAGGGGCTCCGGGTGGAGAGGGACGCGGCCGCGACGGATGCTCTCCTCACCGCCCAGGGGCTAGCGGCGTCCGCGGACCCAGGGCCAGGGGGGCAACGCGCCACCCCCGGGAGGAGGCCGTTCCTGGGCACTCCTTCGCGCAGACAAAGCCCGGAATCTCTGCGGCCAGCAGCTGCGGGAGCCGGGATGTTTCCCCGAGCAGCCGGGCGCGCGGGGGGGCCAGGGCCATTCCAAGTTTCCCCGCACTCCAGAGCCCAGCCCAGACCCCCGCGCGGACAACAAAAGATTCTCTTCGCTTCCCCTAGTCTCTGCCTAACCCTTCCCCCGCACACACGCTCCGGAGCCCAAACTGGGTCCCGGCTGGGCCAGAAGAGCCTTTACTCCCCCTAAGTCCCCCAATCTCCCTCGAGGCCAGAACCTTTTACCTCCTCCCCCCCAGCCTGCGCACCAGGACAGCGAGCTCGGGAGAATCCCACCCTCTCGGGGCCTCCGAGAGTAAGAACGAGCCCTGGGTCCTGCACACGCGCGCGCACACACACACACACACACACACACACACACACACACACACACACACACACACACAATCCCCGGACGAGGCAGCCATCCGCGCGGTCGCGGGCCCGGGCGGCGCCGGGCGTGTGCGCCGCACGGGTTGGGGAAGCGAAGCTGGGGAGCCCGAGCCCGGCGGTCTCTCGGGCGCGGGGCCGAGAGGAGCGGCGGGCAGGGCTCAGCCCGGCTCCCCCAGGGCCGGTCAACGCTCGGGAGACGGAGGCACGAGTCGAAATAAAACGCAGGCAAACCCACAAAGCCGACAGCGCGTGCGAACCGCAGCCCCCGGGACTCGCTGGCTGTGGCCAAGGCGCCGGGGAGGTGGGGCGCGCCGGGGAAGAGCCGGCCGTACCTTTTCGGTGCATCGACGGGCAGGCGACCGGGGCTGGGAGCAAACTGGTGCAGCGTGTATCCCATTTAGTAATCCATTATCGAGGGGGATCTCTCCGGGCCGCGAGCTGCGCTCTCTCCTTTGCAAGCCTTTGTCATTCCTACATGTGTGCTTGTCTCTTTGGGGGCTAATAGTCGCGGCGACTACTTTCTGGGATGCAAACGCGCTGTGTTCATCTCCAATGACAGGCGGAGAAGGGGAGGGAGGGGGAAAAAAAAGAAAGGAGGAAAAAAGCCAACAAGAAAGGAGTAAATGTTCAAGAAACTCTTCGCCAAATCCAATTTCCACTTGGGTTCCACTCCGCTGAGCGCCTTCGGTGGTGTCTGCTCCGATTAACAAGTCATTTCAGGGTGGGGGGCGGGGTGGGGGTGCAGGGCTCTAGCCCCGCTCGGCCGCCGCGAGGGCTGTGCCGCGCTGGTGGGGCGATGCTAGCCGCTGCCGCACGCTCCTAAGCGGGCATCGCGGGCGTTGGGCCCCGCGGAGAAGCGCCGCTGCTGCGTCCCGAGCGCCTGGGCAGCCGAGTGCGCGGAAAGCGGAGTTAGCTGCAGCCTCACCCCGCGCGTCTCACTACTCCGTCGCCGCTCCCGGGCGGAGCCAAGTCCCGGACTGGATTACGCACAGCGGACTCTCCTCCCGCAACCCCGCCTCCTTTGGCTGGCGTCGCCTCCGACCCGAAGGAGAGCTGCGGTGCCCGTGCGTGAAGGCGAGGGAGCTTGGAAGAGAGAAGGGAGAAGCCACGCGGTGTGTCTGCAGGTGGAGCCGTGGCCCGACTGGCCGGCTCAGCTTCCTTTCACTGTAAGCCCCGGCCCACGCCGTGCGCTCAGTCCAAGTCCCCACGGGGGCGACTCCCGCCTGAGCCCAGCCCTGAAACCCCCACCCCCATCCCCACCCCCGCATCTGCTCTAGCGTGGAAAAAAAAATCCCGGATGGCTTTGCTGAGCCCTGCCAAATCAGAAAAATAAATAAAAATAGTAGTGCAGGAGCGAGTTACAAGAAAGGATTTGTTCATCGATTTTATTAAGTGGAAAAGTTTGAGAGGGTGAGGGTAAGTGAACAGCGAGCCTTTCTAATTCTGATCTACTATCAAGGGGTAGATTTCAGAAGCGATGGACGCGGCACGCACCCAGATGACTTGGATTGAAGCCGGTGCGGTTAAAAATACTATTCCAAGATCAGAGCACGGCTATTAGTTAACGCACAGAAACGACAATGAGGCATGTTAAGCAAATGAACCCCAACACAAAGAACTGTGTTGGCAACTGCCACGATCAGTTTTTAAAACTTGGAAAGTGTGTTGACTGTTCTTAGGAGAAAAAAAAAACCCACCCAAAACAGACCAACTTCAGAAATAGGACGCAAGCGATTCCGATGAGAACCCAACCGCTTCATGGAAGAAGTAAATCGCTACTATTTACAACGTTCTATTGTTACGCTCTCAGGAAGAATGGCAGGCACAGCCTTTCTCCGCCGCTTGAACTTCCAATTGCTAAAAAAGCGTTGCGGTTCCAGGCTTGTGCCAACTGGTCAGGTCAAACCAAATCCCCTTCGGCGGGCCGCCGCGCGCTCCCCGCCGCGCGCACTCGCTCAGCAAACAACTGTGCGTGGCGGCCGAGGCTCCCCAAGTGGGTTTGGGCAGATGGTGCGGGCCACGAACGCGGCTTTAGAGAAAGTGCCGAGAGGTCGAGCAGTTCTCGAAGCAATACTTCTTCAGCCTGGGGATAGGTCGAGAAAAACCATTAGGAAAGAGATTGGGGTCTCAGCCTCACATAAATACGTTCTATTCGTCTCCGTTCCCTCCCCTGGCTAAGACCATCACTAAGTCCCCGTATCCTTTTTTTTACCGTTCCTGCTGGGACCTCCAGGAGAGCTCATAAAGAATCAACGCATGCACTACCACACCCTATTTTTTTCCCCTTCTGCAAGCCACCTGGGAAAAGGTGGCGAGACGAGTGAAGTCGGTCTTCCTGCAGCTGGCCAGAGCTGCCAGCAGGGGCCGCCAGCGCCACCTTTCCCAGGCCGCGCTGCCACGGATCCTGGGGGGCGGGGGGGCGCGGCCCTCGGTGCGCGCGCAGCCCCGCGGCTCCGGGGCCGGCTCCCGGAGGGGGCTGGGGCGTGGGGGCGGCGGCTGGACTGCGCGCTCCCGCGGCCTGGGTGGGGGCCTTCTTGGAACCTTCTCCTCTCCTCCGATGGGGAGCGGGAAAGGGCCCTTAGCGGCCAGCGATGGTTGGATCCCTGGCCGCGCTCCTTCGGCTGGTGCCCGCAGAGCGAGCGCGGCCGGGACCCCGCACCCCCAGGCGCGTTTCTAGGGGACCCTGATATTCTCGGTCCCGCACCTCCACCCCGCGGGGGTACGTGCAGCCCCTTCTTCTCTCTCCGCCGCTGATTTACATGTTAATTGTGTCTGTGGGGGTCGGACGTGGCGAGGGAAGGGGGGAGTTCTTTAATTGGCAGCACTAGGCTGGGCAAACGAATTGTTTCACAGGCTGAATCAAATTAATTTCGTTTTTTCTTTTTTTCCCCCCCTCCTTGGAGAAAGAAACAATTCGGCTATCTTGTTTGCTTTATGGGTCTATTGGCAGTGCTCCACAACGAGTTTCATAATTTGTTTTCAAACGAAATGATTTTTTCAGTGTTAATTCTTGTATGTTTCATCTGCCGGTAACGCAGGGCCAAGAAGCGAGAGATGAAATGTACCTGTTTTGAAATCAGGAGTGTCCAAGCAGATTAGATTTGGGAGTTTACTTTTTGCATGGTTAAGAATTCCCCTCCACCCACCAGAACCTTGCCACTTCCGGGCTCTTGAAATCGTACCTCGCCCCTCTCAAGCCACGTCCTCGCAGGTCCACCTGCCGGGGAGGAGGACAATGCTGGAAGAAACGCCCGCCGGCTCGCCCCTGCTGTGTAGCCCCTAAGACCCCGGGAGGGGGAGGGGCGGTCGTTGGAGGCGCTGCCCAGGGAAACCCTTTCCTCGCCTGGGCACCTCAGGCCCACCCGCAGGAGCTACCTGAACTTTTCGGCTCATCAGCCGCTGTCTCTTCAGAGCCTGTCTGTCATGGACCCTCTCTCATAGGGAAAAGCCAAGGGGCATTGGAGAAGCACAGAACGGTAGGACAGGAAGGCAAGGCGGTGAGTTTGCAGGTGGCATGAAGGCCCTTAGTCTCTGGAAATCTGACCACTATGGCCGGTGACCGTGGGTCCCTGTAGCTCTTAGGAATTTCCCTGGACCCCCTATGACTTGGGCTTCATAAACTGTCTCCCAGGGGTTGTGCACTGCCCATAGGCGCTGCCGCAGCCCTGCCTTTAGTGGGGTCGGGCCCCATTGCCAGACCAAGTGATGGAGCACCATTTTGCCCTTACCTTGTACAGCAGCCTTAGTGCCACAGGTTGGAGGACTCAAGGGCTGTCCAGAGGCAAAGGGCAGCTTCTTAGTGGCCAAGATTCGATCATGGCAGAAGGTTCCGACAAAACTCTTTAATAAATGCTCCAATGATAGTACCTGTTGTCTCCTGTGCTTCCTGGGTCAAAAATATGGAGGAAGATTCAAATAAAATGAAAAGCTGGTCCAGGTTGGTTGGTTGGTTGGTTGGTTTTTGAAGATCTAACATTTAGCTATTTAATAATGGCCTTTGCTCTAACACAAAAGGGCATAGAGGACTTGCTGAGCTACTCCAGGAAGGCAGAGGAGTCTACTGATGATTCAATGCCTTATGGGCCGTAGAGGAGGGTGGACAATGGGGAAGACTTGGGAAGGGACTTCTGTATATTCAGGACATAGCCATCCTTACCCCACTTCTCCCCCCAATGAGTAAATCTTTATTTTTGTTTGTGGACCACACCCAGTGGTGCTTCAGGCTTATTCCCAGATCTAAGTTAGAGGTCCCTCCTGGCTATATTTGAGGGACCATATGATGCTAGGAATGGAATTCGGGCCTCCTGAATGTAAATCCTGTGCTCAGCCAGTTGAACTATTTCCCCCACCTGCACAGGGAGGCTCTGAAATGCTCAGATCTCCAGGTTCCTGAGATTCTTACTCATCCAACCCGATTGGCATGAGTCCTAGACAAAGCTAATTTTTAAAATTTGTTTGTTTGTTTGTTTGGGGAAAACTGTTCTGTCTCCTCAGTCCAAGTATATTTCTGCAATTCCCGGATGATCCCGGGGACCGCAGGAGTGGTAGCCACCCTGGTCACAAATGCTGGAGGTGTTTCTTCACCAACCTTTTTCTGTCATTTAGCTCCTCTCTTTATGCCAATGCCTCGGCACCCCATGGCTGCTCTTCTGAGAACCACTCAGAGGTTTGGGAGGCTCTCTGCATTGGTGTCAAGTCCTGCTCAGACCCCGTTTTCAGAAAGCTCCCTCTGCTCCTGTCTGCGTTGCACCTGGCTCCACTCATACACTCAACAGCCACCTTCCTACCAACCTCCTGCTTCCTCAGTTTCTTGGCTTTTGTGCAGTGGGTCTCCCCAAAGAATCAGTGGACTCCTCTTCCTGGAGTAGCTCTCCCAATAGCGGTATCCACTCAGTGTCGGGATGGGGGCAGGGGACAAGTTGCTGGAGGCCTGGCTGTTGCTTACAGAATGTGTATGTTCTCAAGGGAAGCTCTAGAGGTGGGAAAGTTGCTCTTGTCCTTGCCTTAGTCCTTTGTCCCTTTCCTAACCCAGTCAGCAACCTCCACTCCCCCTTTTTATGACTTAGAAGGATGCAAGTTAGGAGATAGGGCCTCAGGCAGATTTATCTATGAGCATGTCCCCTCTACCCAGAAAACCCATTTTTATCCTTTTTGCTTGTTTGTTTTGGAAGGGGGCACACCTGGTGGTACTTAAGGCTTACTCCTGGCTCTGCTCTTAGGGATCACTCTTGGCATGGCTACAGGGACCCTATGCGGTACTGGGGATTGAACCCACGGGGGCAGCATGCAAGGCGAGCGCCTTACCCACTGTACCATATCTCTAGTTCCATCATATGTTTTAACACAGGATATAGCTCTCTGGGTTATATGTACATACATACACACTGATAGCCTGTTTCAGTTTAGAATTCAAGGCCTTGTTCCATATAGAGATCATTTAAAAATTTCCCCCCTCCATCTATCTGATTTTGTTTGTTTGTTATGTTTTGGGGGCCTTACCCAGCAATGCTCAGGTGTACTCCTAGTTCTGCACCAGAAATTACTCCTGGCGGGACTTGGGAGAACAGATGGGATGCCAACGATTGGACCTGGGTTGACCACATGCAAGGCAAGTGCCTTACCTGCAGTACTATCTCGCAGGTCCCCTGTCAGTTAATCCATCCATCTATCCAATCTTAGAAAAACCCAAAAGGGGTTTTCCCCCATGTCTCTTGGCACCTTCCTTATCTCAACCATCTTTCCCCCTCTGCCAGCTGTAGCTCTTCATGATGGGCTGCCTTATCAGAAAAGGCTCCTCCTTCCAGATTCCTAATTCTGGGGTCCCACTCTTCAAGCACAGTACCCTCTTGTCCTGGCCCTCTGCACTTGTTGTTTTTGTGAGCCCCCCTGGGCCATGCTACTGTCTCTCCATCCCTCCTTCCTCTCTTCCCTGGTCCCCCATTCTATACAGTGTCA